TAGGGTGGAAGTTGATGCCGTTACTCTTGTCGGTGTCCGGATGTGGTTTTCCAGATCAAACCGCTGGAGCATGGTGTGCATCCGGCTGTGTCCCGAGCACATGTCCACATTGAAGTCACCAATGGCGACCACGCGGTTGTTTCGTCGCAAGGTTAGATTGTTCAGACTGATTTCTAGGTCTTGCCATACTGCAGCAGTAGTGGAAGGCGGAAGGTAGAACGTAGCGAGGGTGATGGGTTCACCGGATTCTGTCTTCAAGGTGAGTATCAGATTTTCGATTGTGTCACTCTCGAGTTCAGCGTGTCTGGAAACAGCCAGGGTATCTCGACTGTATACAGCTATACCGCCACCAGGTCTGTGCCCGCGATCGCGCCTAAAGAGTCTATAATGAGGTATATGAATGGATGAGTCAGAAATCGAACAATCAAGCCAAGTTTCAGCAATGCCGAAGATATCTACATTGTGGTAGTTTATGAAGTTTTGGATTTCGCCTAACTTTTTTCTAAGGCTGCATACATTCAGAAAAGCAAGTTTACAAGACTTCTGTCGACCGACATTAGCTCTATGTAATTGTGGATTCATTTAATAGATCTATAAGGAAGAACTAAATCTAGAAACTAATCCAAAACCTAAAACAAAAAATACACAGGCAGTTCAAGCATACTATTTCAAGGTGCAGTTCACTGCACCACTTCATGACGGCTCCTACCGCGGCCGTCGTCACCCTCACACTCTTCCTCCCAGTCCGACCCGGTACCATAGAAGTCGTCTGTCTTGGTGGTCGGGCAGACAGCCTTCGCGGACAAGTCGGCACTGGATGATGCGTCACTCCTGGCTCCTCGCTTACGCTTCCTCTCCATGGAGTGCTCCAGCGCACTAAAGCGGTTCGCGACAGAGGGAAAAGCGGAGGCGGTTTGTTGCAAGATTATTGGAGAAAAAGTAGAACACTTTCCACCTGCGACGTGCCAATCTTGCACCGGGGTAGGGACAGAAGATCCAGGAGCTGGAGTGGAAGTTACAGCTGCTTCAGTACCGGTTACATGTACTGCATTTGTATTGGACGCAAGGCTATTGTTGTGTTGCACGTGGTCGTTAGAAGATGCAGCCACAAAAGGTTTCTGGGGAGTTGTGTTGTCTGCTTTACCACCGGGTTCAGTTACGTGTCCCGCAGCAGGTGGGACTGGTACGGCTGTGTCATGGTGTTCTGAAGCTCGTACTGTCGTACGTAACCTTGTCGAGCCAAGGTAATCTCGCAGCAGCTCTCTGGCGTCTTGACGAGAGCATGATGGGTGCATGTATGTCTAGAACTGTTTTGAACCCTACATAGAAAGCCGTCCACATGTCGTCAACATCCATGTGGGCGGATGTAGGATTAGCGCTGAGTGCTTCGGCGAGGTCACACCGGAACTGGTCGATATCAATGTTGCGTAAGTGGCGACGTGTGCGTGGGGTGTGTCAGTGTGAGCGTGCGCCTGTGTGTATGTGTGCGCGTATGTGTATCTGTGTTGTGCGTGCGCCTGTGTGTGTATGTGTACCAGTGTTTGCTGCGCAAGCAATATGTTATCTGCTCATCAACAATAACTGGACGGTTCGCGTACCGGGCCGAGGAGGTCAGGAACCACCTTTTCGCTTCCGTGGGACGCCATAACCCCATGATCAGTTGTCAGATGCGGCTCCTAAGCGGTGGGGGAGGATAGATCATATCCATCAACCAGAGGACAAAGGCAGAAATCTCATTTGCCACATCCATGTTTTCCTCGTACCAGGCCACGAGTTCCAATTCACTGTGGGCCGCAGCACGGCTGGAAAAAATCCTTCCGCTTCCAACCAGGACTTGAACCTGGTACCTTTCGATTCTCAATCATGGTCCTAGACCCACCCACTGGGCCTGCCTCCCTCCTCAATCATTAGAGACAATAGTTTGTCCGTTTAAAGTTTAATGAAGTTCCCTTACGTTCCATAAAGATGCCAGGAACTCATCAGAGAAGAAACAGTTGTTGAATGAAAGGGATAAGCTGAATAATGGAGCAAGCGCTAGTCAATCATAATGAGAAGGAGAGATACACACGAATAGGTTGCGCTAGTTCACAAGACACAAAGAGTACTGGGGTGGTGACAAAGAGAGGTGAAAAGTAGACGCAAAGTGAAAGCCAGCAAATCATCACGGACGTCTAACGTCACATCTGAAGATCGCTAACTGCACAAGACAAATACTTCACGAACAAATTGAAAATTCAGCCTACAGTTTGTGAAAGGAAGGCTGCTGGGGTGTGACATAGTCGAGAACTGTGGGCTGCTGAAGCAAAGAATCCGTCCAGATCTTCACTGCCGGGTTGGCGTCTAACAATAATACCGTAATAAAGATTATTATTATTAACGCTATATTCCGATCAGCAGGTCACATCCTTCTTCTGATCAATGGCAGGTTTCTGGTCCAGGACAAGTCATAATTCGTTGGCGCCATCTTCAATAAGTCCTTCAAGTAGTACTAATAGGTTTTTCATTTGACCAGACGAGACCACTACACACGACGCTTGCAGACGACAGCACGAATAGTGCTTCTCCTCAGATGAGTTCCCGGCATCTTTATGGAACAAAACAATACTTGTCAGGAGTGGCACTACTTGATTTAGTAATAGGTTTTTCATTTGACCCGACGAGACCACACGACGCTTGCAGACCACAGCACGAACAGTTCACCAGCCACACTCCACGAAAGCAAGTAGTATTACTGCTGACAAGTCTTGTTTCGTTCCATAAAGATGACGGGAAACTCACCAGAGGAGAAGCAGTTGTTGAATGAAGAGATAAAGCTGAATAATACTATTTTATAGAGAAGATACCGGCGCAAGGCGTTAACACTCAACTAACTCACATAATATGTGACAAATCAACACAAAAAGGAATACATGTAGTGCAGAGTGGAGGTGTTGTGAACCCTACCAGACAAAACTATCACAAGTGCTAAATCAATCACAATGCGAAGGAGAGGTACACAGGAATGGGTTGCGCTAGTTTACACGTCACAAAGAGTACTGAGGTGGTGACAAAGATAGGTGAAAAGTAGACGACAAGTGAAAGCCAACAAATCATCACGGACATCCAACGTCAGATCTGAAGATTGCTTACTGCACAAGACAAATACTTCAGGAACCTCGATGATTGAAATTCAGGCAACAGTAGGTGAAAGGAAGGCTGCTGGGTGTGACATAGAACTGTGGGCTGCTGAGGCGACGTATCCATCTAGATCTTGATGAGTTCCCCGTTATCTTTACGGAACGAAACAAGACTTCTCAGGAGTTATTCTACTTGCTCTAGTGGAGTGTGGCTGGTGAACTATTCGTGCTGTGGTCTGCAAGCGTCGTGTGGTCTCGTCGGGTCAAATGAAAAACCTATCACTACTATTTGACGTACCTATGGAAGATGGCAACAAAGAATTCTTACTACTTGCTTTCGTGGAGTGTGGCTGGTGAACTGTTCGTGCGGTCGTCTGCAAGCGTCGTGTGGTCTCGTCTGGTCAAATGAAAAACCTATTACTAGTATTACGCTATAATGTCCACTAACACCCCCAGTTACTAAACAATCAGCTCACGTCATTACCGTAGGCAGTACCGTCGGTCAGTGTCGTGCAATGTTATCGCATGAGCTGATTGTGTTAGTAACTGATGGTGTTAGTGGACATTATAGTAAAATTTGTAGTTCCTTGGTCTTTTTTCTTTAAATTTATCCTTGGCTCTCCATCCGAGCCCATTTTCTCTTTCTGTTCACCACTCATCCCCCCCCCCCTTTTCTAAACATTTATAATTTTTATGCTTTGCCCCATCAGCCTCTTTACTTTTGCCGCAATGTTGAGCTCCCGATGTCAAATAAATACATGTAAATAATAATAAATAAGCCCCATCAGCCTCTTTACTTTTGCCGCAATGTTGAGCTCCCGATGTCAAATAAATATGTAAATAATAATACGAAATAGTGGTTGCGACTTCGGAGATGATTTTTTTAGGGATGGGTTTGCTCCCACACTGGAGCTCGCGCTATTCCGCCGACTTGACTTGACACTTGACTGACTCACGACTGCCATCCAGACCACACGAGAAGTCCATCGAACCTTCGACTCGGCAAACCTGCAAGAAAGCACCACTCCCTGCTCAACACACAGTATTTCGGGGAATTCACCCCTCATCAATTGAGCTTGAGTAGGCTGAGGAAGATTGTGCCTGAAGAGCACCACTTATATAGTGCTCTCCAGCCACAAACATCACCAGGGATACAAACTTACAGAGACGCTCCGTTTCCAGCGAGACAAACACCTCGTGAACACCAGATAGCAGCGTGAGTCAATGTCGCTCCTGGACGGTGAGAATAGACGTCGAGGACCCTCAATCATGCACAACGCTGTCACCTCCAAACCAGCTAGTCGGAAGCCCGCGCTGGGCACAACAGTACGAAATAGTGGTTGACTTCCGCGACTTCGGCGATGAATTTTTAGGAATGGGTTTGCTCCCACACTGGAGCTTGCTCTATTCCGCCGACTTGACTTGACACTTGACTGACTCAGGACTGCCATCCAGAGCACACGAACACTGACTCGCGCTGCTATCTGGTGTTCACAAGGTGTTTGTCGCGCTGGAAACGGAGCGTCTCTGTAAGTTTGTATCCCTGGTGATGTTTGTGCCTGGAGAGCACTATATAAGTGGTGCTCTTCAGGCACAATCTTCCTCAGCCTACTCAAGCTCAACTGATGAGGGGTGAATGCCCCGAAACACTGTGTGTTGAGCAGTGAGTGGTGCTTTCTTGCAGGTTTGCCGAGCCGAAGGTTCGATGGACTTCTCGTGGGCTCTGGATGGCAATCGTGAGTCATTCAAGTCAAATCGGCGGAATAGGGCGAGCTCCAGTGTGGAACCAAATCCATTCCTAAATAATAATACTAATAAAAACCCATGCGTAATATTACTCATAGCTCCAATCTTAATCGTCCATCTTGTTATATTTGTGTCAGCAATGCTAGAGCATAGAGTGACCAGTATTATTAAACATTTTCGGAACCTACAGTGAAAGCCTAGTCCATAGCCTATAGTGGTGATTCTTGTTGAGTGCCAAAAGAAATCGTTTGGATCGAATCAGAACCAACAGTTTCCCTTGTAGCTGCGGATGAGTCAGTGCCTTCAAACATTCACAATCCACAGGAACTGCTCATGTATGGAATGATTCATACGGTATTGGAGTGGTTCATTTTAATGTCGAAGAATTAAAAGGCAGTGTTTCCTTGTTGCATGAGATCGACCACAGGCACACATTATATGGAAAAAGGAAAATATTACTTGTAAAAGAAAAAGAAAAATAGAGTAGGGTTTAAGACAGCAGAGGAAAGATTGCATAATAATATTTTGATCATTGAGCAACGTTAGTCAGGGAATTTCAGGTGGGACACAAGAGGGATCCGGAATTGACCGGGTATCAATATCTTAATACTGTGGACACATTTCTTGAACTTCCAGAATAGATATTGACTTCCATCCTGAGCGGGAATCGCTGGCGGCATAGCCCGGAGCTCTTCCGACATGTACAGTGATATTGTGATCTCCAGCTGCAATGTTAGCTCCACTGCTGTACGTAGACTCACAGATACCAGTTAGTACGGCTGGGATGTGGTTGTTGTCGCCACTGCTCTGGAACATGGCTATATCAATCTTGGTAGGTCTAACACACTCCCTGTTGTCGATCTTCAAGTACCACCTCGCAGCTGTGCTTGCTCCACGTGTGCGTATATTACCAGAATAGGATAACTTGAGTACAGTGTTGGTATGCTTCTTCCTGAACGACAGTGTTGCGATACGGCCTTCATCAATGTTGTTGCGGCGTACAAAACTTTGATACTTGTACCCAACGCTTCTCCGGTTACAACCAGTGCCGTCATACTGCAATTGGACAAAGAGACAAATTCACAAAGCTGGTACCAACTGAATGCCATCTCCAAGGTGTTTTATTTGTCTCCTTTCTGAGTCGGAAAACCGGAGCTTGTCTTGAATGCCAAATTAACTACAATTACCTAGAGTAAAAATTGTAACCAAAGACCAGCGTGACTAGCGCCCAGCCTGGTACTACAGACAACTTCGCCAGGCATGGACGGTCTCACATTCCATAATGATTGTGCGGTGCAAACCTCTAACTAAGGACCACCTGCCACTAAAGACCGCTTTCTCTGGCCCCCAAGGAGTGGTCGTTAGTCACAGGTTTTGCTGAAATTAAAGGTTAGTGCATGGCAGGGAGGGCCTCATGGCGTGTTTGTACCCTTCGGGTTAGCCTACAGTCCATTCATTGGAAACTGCCACCCTAACTTTTTGGTGTCTCTCTCACATAGTTGTAGATATCGTGAAAACAACAGTACATCCTGCATTGTGTTATCCGTGCAATTACTCCTTGCCACATTTCAGGCCAGAAAAGTCCAAGAACAGGGAAAAAGAACTTCAGCCAGGTTTTACAAAATTAGGACAGATATGCCATGGCAAAATGTATGGAGAAGCAGATCCCAAACCCAGATTTTTGAGATTTAAAGTGGGTTTTTGGTCCTTAATTCTGCCCAAAATCCGACTTTCAAAAGCCAGCGGGCCAGTTTCCGATGAATGGACTGTAAGGGCCATAGGCCCGAAGACTAACCTGAAAGGTACAAACAAGCCATAAGACCCTCCCTGTTATGCACTAACCTATGAAAGTCATACGTTTGACAGCGTTAGTCGACATGGTTAGCATTTTACCGTTCACCCCAACTTCGCCGTTGGCCTCTCCCTTTCTCTCTCTCGTTTTGTCTCTCTACCTATCACTCTCACTCCGAGTCTCTGTGTATGCCTCTATCTGTCTCCATCATCCTCTCCCTTCGGTCTCTGCTGCTCTCTTTCTCTCCCTCAGTCTCTCTCTCTCTCTCTCTCTCTCTCTCTCTCTCTCTCTCGGGTCCCCACTCTGGTCAGCCAGCAATGACAGTAAACAAGAGAGTTGAATGCATTACTCCATCGCCTACTCACTTACCTGAGTTCTGCTTTGAGTGTCTGCCAGTTGTTTTCGTAGCTCTTTAACTTCATTCTGTAGACTCCTGAACTCATCTAACGGAGCAGGATGCGCTGCACCGAAAAGAAACAATAAATGCAAACGACCAAAGTTATGAATTGTGTATGGCGTGTGTTGCATATTGGAAGGTTCGATGGACTTCTCCCTTTCAGCGTACCCATGCCTCTTGTGCGGGCAAAATACACACAAGCGTAACCTCAACTTCTCATGTGCTCTGGATGGCAGTCGTCAGTCAGTCAAGTGCTAATTCAAATATACAGAAAAAGGTACTTCGTAGGGGACTACACACAATTTACAAGTATCACTGGAGTCGCAGCAACCTCTTTATCATAGTGATTTGGAGTGCATAATGTCCCCTTTCCGAAAATAGGATCCAGCTATATAGAGCGACACAGTGCTAAAGTTGTCCTAAACTTGTCAGACAACTTAAATGGAGGTAGGTTTCCACCAGAAGGAACAGTGCTCAGCCCCATAATCTCTCTGGTGAAGAGATTATACTTGAGATAGGCAGTATTTTTCTCCTCCCCTTCCCATTACCATTATTACTCAAGTAGAAAATTTGTCATGTCGCTCACATGATTGTATATAAGGAGGCGTCATCGCCTGTTTGTTTCGCGACTTTAAATAAAATTCAACAACAACAACAACTACAATAGGCAAGGCGAGTTGCGCATTGAAGACACATGCACACCGTTGGCTAAGGTTTTGGCATCCTTTAACTTGCACATTGCCATCTTTTTTTTTTTTTTTAAAGAGAACACAAACCTACAAATCATGTTGAAAGATAAAAGTACATTGGACTGGGTAGGCGCTATCCACAATGCCAGGTAATAGCTGTGCTGATGATATACAGGATCGTCCCGCAAAGCGAAATGATCAAAAAATAAACACTCGCAATACAGTGAAGTACAGAAGTGCAAATTTAGTGCAAAACGGTGAGAGTTAAGAGATACAAAACTACTGTAAAACCGGAAAGTTTTAACGAAAATTTGATTCGTTATTTGCAGAAACGTTATCGCGACATGTCTGTGTGAAGATGTGCATACAGATGGGTGACCAGGGAGCCATCGTTCAACTTTCTGCACGTTATCATGCCAAAACTACAAAAACGTTAAACATTTTGATCGTGAAACTTTCCCGTTTTACAGTAGTCAAAGCACTTTTCACAAGCACTGAGATAAACCAACACTTTCGGGGGGGGGGAGAACCCACACTTCGAACCACCGATCTAAGTTAATATTAATCGTGTTACAAGCTATCTTCACCTGTCATGAGAAAGGCGAATAGGCATTTGAACCACGAATAAAACTGAATGAGCCACGCATAGCATGAAAAGGTTTGCACTTACGTGTCTGGCAGTAGTCCCCAGTGAAGTCAGGATGACACTTGCATTCGTATGACGTATTGGACAGCGACAACTGACACTGACCACCATTGAGACAGGGTGAGTAGGTCTTGCAAACTTCAGACTGTTGAACTGCGAACAAGAAGGCCATATAATTATAGCCCAAATTAGAACAGGAAAATCATGGCATGAGTCACTGACAAGTACATAACAATTATGGATAATTGGACCCATTAACTAGTACATTCCTGTATATGGGTCCGTGAAGTCGGGATGTGATATTCGTCACGAGGACAGTTGATGTGCTTTTCTAAGTACTCGTAGACTCCATTGCAGTCATTTGCATATCAGGGATCCTCAACTTCTATACTGAAACACGGTCTTTTTGCTCCATACATTATTTGAAATGTTCTCAAAATTAATTTTCGGGCCTGGCCCATTATCAAGGCGAAAGAGAAAACGTACATGTACATGAATTGGAGCATTGGAATTGAGGGACTTGCAAATTTATGATTTTATATAATTTTCACACAATTATTGAAGAAATGTTTCGGTTTGAAGCAATGAGAGGTCTAATGCGGAAGGCCTCGAATCCCAAGCAACTATGAGAATATTACCCGCAAGCGGAAACAGACACAGGTATATGACCATAACATAAGCGTGCTAACAAATGCACATCCATAAATACACGCACAAGCACACACAAACACACACACGCACTCAGTCAACAGACAAGGACACACACACGCATACACACGCACACGCACGTACACACACAACAGAGAGTGCCACGATATTCCTTGTTCTTCCTCTTATCCATGATTCCATGAACTCACTATCCGAGTTCAATGTCGCACACCATAACTCACGTATACATTTCTGAATTGCCTGAGCATCAGCTCTTGTAGACTGCAAGACGAACTTCAGAACACCGACGTCAGTGCTACTTATCACATCCTCCGACATCGTAGCGAGGAGAGCGCGTTGCTCGTACTGCAGTGCTTTGTTCTGTGCAATACCAGCCTTCAGCATTCTCCTCATCATACAGCTATCACCAGTGCCTGTACAGATAGGACACACGTGACACGGTGATCACGTGTGCAACGCATGGACATAAAGTACTGTTTTGACACTGAAATGGAAGGTTCTTTCTCTGTCTTTCCACTATGACCCATGACCAATATCAAAGGAAGGTGATTATGATACAGATTGATCTACAACCACAAAAATCATACAAAATCAAACCAGCAAGCAAGGAAGCCAACAATTCGTGGAGGGCTCGGGACTGGGGTTAGGATGGCATACAGTGGGACCTCCTACAGCATATGCATGAGAATAAGCTAAACGCCATTGAATTAAAACGCATGCCTGCTCAGATCATTTCGCTCGCTTTCCGTTCGGAAACAAACTACTAATACTTTGGAGTACTTACCAGTCACGTGATAGCAGTGGGTCAAGAGAAGAACAGCAGCAATAATAGCAAATCCCGCAGCGAATTTAGCCATGCTGTAGCAAGGAGTGTAGGCGAACTCTTCCTCTGTTTCTCTCTCTGTTACTCACAGTTTCTCCCTGTGTTTATTTCTCTTCGTCTCAACTCCTGTCCGCGTAAGTGACGGTCTCTTTATGATCAATTTTCGAGCGTGTTGTGTAGTTTTGTATGGACTTCACTAGCATAGCCTGTACCTGTACACAGCATGTGAATCACTCTGCTAGTGAATGCCTCGTAGCAGAGTGCTAGGGGGATTGTACGGCCTGTATGAATGTCTGTAAGATGAACGCTGGTGACAAAACGGGTGGTTAAAATATTGACATCCGTTAACGGTACTTGTCTTTCCACCGCTGACCACACTGTTGTCATCTTTACAAGCATTGACAAGAGAAACAATTTCCAGAATGACATCGGTGAGTACACAAAGACCTGGCTGTCCATTCAGATCACCACCTTGTCGTCTCTTGGACAGTCACGTCGACATTTGCCTTTCAACAGACTTGTCCAAGTGGAATGGGGGGATCGTGGCATAGGAAGATCTGATCCCCGGGGAAGCGGCGACACCATTTCTGCACGTCGCAGAAGCCATCAGGGCTACGGAGACTGAGAATGTAAATTTGACCAATTACACGTGAACGATGCAGGTTCCTTTTTTTTTAACCCCTGGGTTATAATATTTGTACTGTAACAGGTAGCCGAGTGGTAGGCGCGGTGCAATCAACAAGAGTTAGTTTTATTCTTCTTCTCTCAGGTACACATCTGCGATATAATTATTAGTAAAAGAAGAAGCGGCAAATAAATAACTTTCTCCCCGGTGCACACCTAGAGATTGACTACTTCTTCTTCGAGTTAGCTTTGTCGTTGCCATAAAATCTCATATAAAACAGAAATGCGCAGCAGCTTTTATGCAACAGATGCCGTACGTTTACATACGTAGATACACTAAATATACATCAGGTAAAGTTCCGTATTACTTCCGTATTAGCCAGGCAGGGATACTACAGTACTGACTCAATCGTCCTGAAATTCATGCTACTAACTACAACAAAAATTTAATTGTAACTTGTAAGTGTACCGAACTATCCGCCTCTCTTAACAAAAATATGCACATTGAAAAGTTTGGACAGTTGAACAGGGAACTGGTTTGAAGAGCACGTCACCATCAGAATTCGAACTTTATTCAAACCAAATTGGACCGTAACGAACCTGAGACGTTTAGTTCGACTCTGTCAGGGGTGCTATTTTTACTGATATTCATCATCATCATCATTAACCTACTCGGGTTGCTTTCGCAACAATAGTGAGGTTCTGCCACACGGTATAACGTGCCAAAGTACGTATGGAAACTAACGTTACTTCGCCGCGGTACGGGATTTAGTTTGATACGGATTTTTCATACCGTTTTCCGTGTGAAGCTCGCTTCACACAATCTGGACTCCGTGTGAAAAGTGAGCGTACAGAGTACATGTTGCGGGGTGTTCGTGTATACTTCGAGCATGCTACGTGCAGCAGAACCGGTGCAACGTAGGAAAAGTCCGTGTCAAACTTCACTGCAGTTGACACGGAATTTGGTACGTAGTTCCGTGTAGCAGAACCTCTCTAATGTCACGCCATTCCGTCCTGGTCTCTGTCCAGCTGTTGACCTGTACGGTAATGTCTTGTCTGCTCCATTTGTCTTCTTTACGCTGACCCGTTAATTTGACAGCTGGTCGCCCTCTCTTCCTTGTTGCCGACACCATGCCCTCCACTTGATCGTTTTCCAGGCTACATCTCTTCGCGATATGTCCATAATACCGGAGACTCCTGCCGTAGATTCTATCCGCTAACACTGGTCTCTCCATCGCCCAATTCCTCCGGGATATCCATGTTGGTTTTCTTTTTAATCCATTTCACTCTCACTAACCGGCGATAACACCACATTTCAAACGCCTACACGCTGTCTTCCTGTCGCTTTGTTAATGCCCGTGCCTCCGAGCCGTAACTGGCAATGGAAAACGCGGTTGCCTGCAGCAGTCGTACCTTTTAATGCCTTTCGATATATATTTTCGCATTTCCAAATGGGTTCTAGCCTGCTAACTGTCTGTCGTGCCAGGGTCAAACGACATCTCAGCTTTACTGTTGTCCTGCTGGAAATGTAGAGCTAATAATACCAATAATACTGATAATATTTTGTAACATAGAAATTGTGGGCACAAGTTGTGCGATCGAGTCCATCAGCTAAACTAGATTTTGAACAGTCAGACGTGCACAATCTCGCACAAAACTGACAAGGAGTACTGAGACATTCCACTGCACGGTTGGTTAGCACTAAGTAGCAGTGCTCAAGCTGTCTTTCATGCAGTGGAATGTCTCAGTACTTCTTGTCAGTTTTGTGCGAGATTGTGCACGTCTGACTGTTCAAAATCTAGTTTAGTTGGTGGACTCCATCGCATAACTTGTGCGCACAATTTCCTTGTTACAAAATATGTTTTCCTTGGCTCACCATCTGAGTTCTTAAAATACTGATAATACCAATAGCTAAAACAGGCACGAAGCAAGATACATTTATGCACCCTCTTGTGCGTGTGTGTGTATGTGTGTGTGCGTGTGCGTGCGTTTACAAGTGATAAACTGGGCAACACATTTTTTGTCATAGCATTGTGTTCGTAGTAATCAATCATTATAAACGGACAATTTGCTAATTGAAAAAATTCTGCGATTGGTGAGGATCAAAAGAAAACACTGGGTTGCGAAAGAGGGGCAAAATTTAAATCTTAATGTGATGACAATAGTGCCAAAAGGTGCAAGCGAGATTACATTAGGGTATCCACAATACCTTTTCACATTCAGAATTTATTGAATTCTAAAAGAACAGTTGCAGACAACGATAATAGTGTGCATAACGTGAAGTATTCTTTACATTATTACATAATAATTACTGAAGTATTATTATGCATTACCATGATTCTTGTTTCAGTTATGTACATCTTGATTGTTGTGTTTGTTAGTTGAAAGTATTGGAATCAGTGTACATTCACGTTAGATCTAGTCAACAAACCTTAGAGTGAGCTGCATTTTCATGCATTTTATGGTTTTTTTGTATTTGTATTGTATTTTATTATTTTACTTGAGCATTCCCAACAGACCCAAAGGTCTTCTTACAGGGTGCCCAAGATTAATGAAATTGTTAAGCTCCTGGCGAAATGAATTGGAGATATGATTTGTGAGAAGGGATTCGGGAAGCGCATTAAAGCGGTCAGCACCAAGGAATGAAATAGATCGGTATCCAGCTTGAGCTTGCACAATGGGTAAGGAAAGGAAATAATTGACTCGGCCGCGGGTTACTCTATCTGTGTGAGCGCAGTCACGGCGAAGGGAGAACATGTCAGAGAGGAGTGAACTGCAGATATTGTGGATGCAACGGAACACGAAGAATATGGACTTAGTATGATATCTTTTGTCTAAGCTAATTATGTGGTATCGCTCAAGCAAGTATGATGTCCGCGTGAATGTGTAATGCTCAAATATGCATCTAAGTGCTCTCATACTTGTGCGTAGCAGCTGATCTCTCACTTTGTCAGCGAGGCAGTGGACGTAAGCAGTGCCGGCGTACTCGAGCTTGCTCTGGACTACTGACAAGTAGAACTGCGTTATGGTACGTACAGTTTATGACTACCTAATTTTTATGAGTCCTGATGAGCGCCACAAGAAATCATTTGGATCGAATCAGAATACCCTGTTTCTTGTACCTGGCGAGAAGTGCCTTCATACCTTCGCAATCCACTGGTCCTGTATGGAATGACTATTTCAGTATCACCGTCTTAGTACTGTGGACACATTTCTTGAATTTCCAGAACAGATGTAGACGCCCATCCTGAGGCGGGATTACCAATGCCATGTCCCTGAACGCTCCCGATATGTACAGTGATCATGTGATCTCCAGCTGCAATGTTAGCTCCAGTACTACTGTACGTTGACTCACAAATGCCAGTTAGTACGGCTGGGACGTGCGTGTTGTCGCCACTGCTCTGGTACATTGCTATGCCGATCTTCGTTGGTCTAACACACTCCCTGTTGTCGATCTTGAAGTACCAACGTGCAGCTGTACCTGCTCCGACTGTGCGTATAGTACCAGAATAGGACAGCTTGAGTACAGTGTTGGTATACTTCTTCCTGAACGACAGCGTTGCGATACGGCCTTCATCCAGTTCACTGTTGACACGGTGACGACTCTGGTACTTGTATCCGAGAGTTCGAAGATTACAGCCTGCGCCCAGATACTGAAAAGAACAAAAAGCGAAAAAATGAAAAGACAAAATTATTTTAACGCTTTCAGAAGTTCACCTGAAGTGTATGCGAGCGTTTGAACAACATTCGTATTTAGTTATTGACATAAAAATTACCTGACTCGACACTTTACTGACTCAAGACTGGATTAAAGGAAGCAAACTATTTGTATGATACTAGAGAAGTATTGCGGAGCGACCTTTGTATGAATGCAACAGTAAGCACAAACGGTGGTGCCCATCGGATTTAACGTGTCCTGCTGGGGCGGCACTTTTTCGCACCCTTACCTGCTTCGGTTTGGATCAGCTGGTGCAGAGTCCAACGCACACAACATCTTCCGGAACACAGTCATGTCTAGACCTTGTCTTCACAAACCAACCCCTGCTGGCGACGGACGTTCACACAGCTTGCGCTCTTGGCTCCTCGGACCATCTCATGGTTTCATGCCAGTTCGCCGTCTCATTGCCCTCGGACCCAGACCTGCCACTTCCTTCTCGCAAACCGTTCCCATATCGCTTCCGTCGAGTTCCCTCTCAGTGCTGGGACTCTATGAACGCTGATTTCTCCTGCCACGACTGGTCGTTTCTGCAACCAGAAGGCTCTCCAACTGTTGACGCCGCGGTAGATCACTTTGCAGCCGTCCTTGAACGAGGGTTCCAACAGCACCTCTCTAACTTTGCTATCGGCTACAACAACCGGAAACATTCCAACCCAACATCCTCGACATCTAGTCCCCCATGGGTGACACTGTTCCTCGTATCTGAAGTGAAGCGCAAGCGTGATCTTTTCAGCATCTACAAGAAATTCCCAACGCCGGTTAACCGGGAGGCTTACCGAGTTCAACGCAACTTCGTCAAGCACCTTTCTCGTACCTCACACCGCTCCTTTCTAAACTCTCTTTCTGCAACACTCTCCTCCCCCGATCGCCCATCACTCCACCAATTCATTCGCAACCAGTGCCGCGGGACCT